GCCCGGCTGGAAGATTTCCTGCTACCAAGCAGCACCTCCCTCACCGAATCCGAGCACTGGAGCTCCATTTGTTTTAACCATGAAGCTTCCAAGCCATGAGATGGAGGGCCTTGAGGTCTGGGTGAAGGAGGCGACGTGGTCCCGTGTGATCAGATCGGGGTATAGTGGCAGTGTGATCGGGGTGTCCACCGACAGCTCCAGAAGCGGGGTGTACAAATGTTGGAATGGCCATGCTGGGGCCAGCAGAATTACCTCCGCTTTGTCTCTGCAGTTCTTGAGCAGCACCTTGTGGATGAGTGGGACCAGTGGGAAAGCATACGAGGCGGTCTCCCCAGGGTAGCATAAACGCATCCGAGATGGAGCCCGGACTGTATTTTTGGAAAGAGCAGAACGTTGGATACTTCCTATTGCTCCTGGTGGCGAATAGATCTACCTGGGGAAACCTCCACCATTGGAAGATGGAATGTATGACATCTGGACAGATGGACCACTTGTGGTTGGGAAACGACCTGGTAAGATGGTCTGCAAGCTCATTCCGAACTCCTGGGAGATGAGTTGCGTCCAGGTGAATGGAGTGGCCTATACAAAAATCCTAAAGCTGGAGAGCTTCCTGACAGAGAGGGGAGGAGCGAGCTCCGCCCTGCTCGTTATGCAAATCATCACCGCCATGCACTGGCTCTGCATTCTGCACTGGAAGGTCTGGCAGGCTAATCGCACAGCTCTGAGCTCCTTGATGTTGATGTGGAGCGAGAGCTCGGCCTGCGACCACCGACCCTGCGTTTGTAGGTCTCCTAGTTGGGCCTCCCCACCCAGAGCGACGTGTCCATTACTAGAGTCATAGAGGGTTGAGGGGTGCTGAATGGGACTCCTTGGTGGACCATGCGAGGGTCTAGCCACCAGTGGAGGGATTCTAGAACTCGCTCCAGCAGTGTCACTACCGAGTCCAAGCTGTCTCGACCTGGTGATAAGTTGAGGCGAGCCATGCTTACAGTGGCCTGAGCCTCAGTCTGGCATGCCTGACGACGCAGGTGCAGGCTGCTATGTGTCCAAGGTGGCTCAGGCATCCCCTTGCTTTTGTGGTGGGGTATCGCCTGAGCGTCTGGATGATATCTGTCATTGTTTGGAATCTGGACTCCGGCAGGAATGCTCTCGCCTGTACCGAGTCCAGCACCACCCCAATGAATTCTATTATTTGGGTCGGGGACAGCATCAACTTGTTAACGTTGAGGATGAGTCCTAGTCTCTCAAAGGTGGCTCTGACCAACCGGATCTGGGACTCCACCTACTCCCTGGAGCGCCCCCACAGCAGCCAGTTGTCAAGGTAGGGATACAACTGTATCTTCCTCTTGCAGAGAAAAGCTGCAACAACCGACATGCACTTGGTGAACACTCAGGGGGCTGTCGATAGACTGAATGGGAGCACCGTGAACTGATAGTGTTTGTTGTCGACCACAATTCTAAGGAAACGTCTGTGGGCTGGACGAATGGCTATGTGGAAGTATGTGTCTTTCATGTCGAGGGCGGCGTAACAGTGTCCTGGATCCAAGGAAGGTATGATCGTGCTCAGTGAGACCATGCGGAACTTCAACTTCACCATGAACTGGTTGAGTCCTCTTAGGTCTAGAATGGGTCTGAGACACCCCCCCCCCCTTTGCCTTGGGGATAAGGAAGTATCGGGAGTAGAATCCCTTGCCCCATAGCTCCTGAGGAACCTCCTCCACTGCCCCTATGGTGAGGAGCGATTGCACCTCCTGTATAAGGAGTTGCTTGTGAGAAGGGTCCCTGGAGATGCACGGGGAAGGGGGGCGGGAGGGAGGGGAGGAGCAGAACTGGAGAGAATATCCCACTTCTACCGTGCGAAACATCCAGCAGTCTGATGTTATTTGTGACCAAGCACAGTAGAAGTGGGACAGATGGTTCAGGAAGCACGGGGAAGAATCCGGGATACTGGCAGGTACACCGTCCTCGGGCGTCCCTTCAAAAGCCTTGTTTGGAGCCCAATGGTGACTTGGTCGGGCCCTGTCCCTGCCCTGAAGGCGGGGTTGAAGGCCCGCGCCAGTTATTTCTGTTCCTACAGCGGTAAGAGTCCTGCCTTGGGCAGGGCTGTACTGCTGTGGCTGAGACTTGAAATGCTTGCACTGGGTAGCCGTCGTGTGCATCCCCAGCGACTTCATAGTTGCCCTTGAGTCTTTCAGGTTGTGCAGCCTAGAGTCAGTCTGGTCCGAGAACATCCCTGCACCTTCAAAGGGAAGGTCCTGCAAGGTCTGCTGAACGTCCAGAGGTAACCCAGAGGATTGGAAGTTCTCCTCATGACCACCCCCGAGGAGATGGTATGGGCCACTGAAATCAGCCAAGTCGAGGGAGGCCTGTAGGGAGGTCCTCGCTACCGCCTTCCCTTCCTCAACCATGGCGGAAAATTCCGCCCTTGATTCTGCGGGGAGCAACTCCTTGTCCTTGGACACAGAGTCCCAAGAATTAAAGTTACACCTGCTGAGGATAGCCTGCTGGTTGGCTATCCTCAGCTGGAGGCCTCCTGCAGCATAGATTTTCCTGCCATGTGTTTGGCCTCCTTAGCCTTGGGGGCCGTTGCCTGTTGTCCCGGCGCTCCTTTTCATTCACTGCTGAGACCACCAGGGAGCAAGGGTGTGGGTGAGAGAATAAGTACTCGTATCCCTGAGACGGGACAAAAGTACTTCCTGCCAGGCCACTACTCCTTGTTGCGGTGCCGGGGATCGCCGGTGCCGAGAATCTCTTGCACTAGAGTCCTTCCTTGGCACCGATTCGCGGACCGATGCAGGAGCGCTCTGGGCCTTGGCGGTCACGGGCCGCTGGATGGAGTGCAGCTTCCATGAGCAGCTGCTTTAAATGGAAATCCTGCTCCTTTTTAGTCCCAGGCTTGAAAGCCCTGCAGATCTTGCAGCACTTGGACTGATATGCCTTCCCCAGACACCTAAAGCAAGAGTCATGGGGGTTGCTATTTGGCATGGGCTTGTGGCATACACTGCATGACTTAAAGCCTTGGGTTTGCAGCATGTCCCGGAGCCCAAAAAGGGGTGAGCGGATAGGGACGATCCCGCTCACCAACATCTATGCTAACTATACTAAACTACACTAACAACAACTACTATAAAAGAAACAAAGAGAACTAGATAACTAAGCTAAGGGAGCACTTGCAAGGCAAATGAGACGCAGTTTCAACGGAAAGAACTGAAGGGGGGGTTGGGTGGGCAGGGTCCTATATTGAGCGCCATGAAGGCGCCACTCCAGGGGGCTCCCCAGCCGACCCAATGGGAGCTGCTAAGGGAAAAAGTTTCCGACGACGGTGCACGTGGTGCGCCCATACCTGATTGGAATCGATGTGAACAAGCACTTAAAGAAGAACCTGCTTTCTAGAGCCACACAGGTTTTCCCCAACTAGCTCTCCACAGTATCTTTAAAAATAAGTTTAAGACCATGATCCCAGCAGGTATAGGTGTTATTTGATTTAAAGCCATTTCAGTTGCCTTATGCTTTTAGGAAGTTGGTGAAAAATGTAATCCCCTTACTGTATAGTCTGTGCTTTACATCATACTGCACATCATTCATCCATCTTGGCAACAACATTCAGCTGATAAACACGGATTCTAAAACGAGCCAATCCTGGAGCACAACACGTAGGAGTTTTTCCTCCACAAATCCATCCAACAAGGTTTCCCAGATTTTTCAAAACAGATTCACTGCTCTCATTTCATTGACTGCATTCATGTTTTTCAAAATTTCACAAAGACACTTTAAAAAAACCGCTATTAACATTATTGAAACTATCATACATACATTTCATTTCTAAAAGCTGCCTTCTCAGCTGAAGGCTCCTTGACAGCTACAAATTAAGTAAGTATTTTAATGCAGATTTTGGCTGCCTTCCTGAATTCCAGAAGTGCCTATACCTAAAAAAATTCCCTACTCCAAGTACATTTGAAAATCTAAATCCTATCACAGTTTAATAAAATGGTTCTCTTTGATAGCTGGAAATAACTGGTATATTTTAATTATAGTGTTAGATTTCAGATGTCAGTTAAATCTTGATAACAGAGAAAACCCACAACAAGTTCTAACTCCGATCAGCTTATGACTTCCCTCCCGCCCCAACTGATCTGCCCACTTCACCAGCCAATCTCATTAACTCTGACATTAGCCTTTGGCTGGGAATCAGAACGTAGCAGCTCTGCATCCAATACCAAAGACAGTATGCATTTTTGAAGTGAATGTTAGGTTATTTCTTACTGTCTAGTTGGATAAATAAGCCTGTGTGAAAATGAAAATCCCCAGCAAAGAATGGCAGGAAAGGACACGATCAGAGTTACCATATTACAGTCAAGATCATTATCAATCTTTCCATCTTGCATAATCACCTATGAGTTGACATGAACCAGCACCATTATTCAGTAAGCTTACTGATCTGTGAAGAGATTCAGCAACGGAAAGAGGAGGGAAAAACCACCTCTTCTTGCAGCATTAGGCAGGAAGAGGTGGTGTAGATTAGCTTCACTTTCTGGTAGTGGGGGAAGGGCAAGGAAGATTAATCTTCCGATGCATTATGAAGAAGGAAAACAGAACTGCAAACTTTCTGTGGGGACCGGACTGAAGACAAGAGATCATAGGTAACATGTGTCCCAAGGTAACACAAAAGAGTATTTTAGTTCAAAACAACTCTGTAAAAAGGTCAAGAAAAAAATCTGATATTTACAAACATTGGGACCAGTTATGTGACTAACTATAACAAACTGGTATGGAGCAGTCTCCAGTAATGCTGTCACTAATCACCGTGCAAGTGGTGGGTGTCATGCTTATTTCTGTCCCAGGGTAAAAAGAGAAGCATAAAAATCTAGCAAAGATGAAGCCATTTGTGACAGGAGGTTAGACAATACACACATTGCAATAATATATCACACACAAAACACTAAAGATAGAGTATTCAATGCAGAAGGTTCATGGAAAATAAAATTCAACTACAGAAAAAGTTTTCATAATTAAAGTTTATTTCTTCATTTTTTCTTAATACAAAGCTTTGGCATTAGCAAACTTTAATGAAAAATAAATGTACTAAATGTAACTGCGTATGCTGCATGATCAATAAATGATGCAAAAAATAGGTGTCTCTCCAAGGCAAATCTGTCAGAAAGTGTTTCTTCAATACCATTCTGCTCTGTGGGGTAAGAAAGAGGACAGAATATTTATATTAGTTAAAGTTAATACTGAATGTTTAACTAAAAACTGTCAAATAAAAGTCAGTGTGAAAATTATAGAGAGCTAAAAATGGTGAATGCGGTTCCCCACATCATTGTTTACTATAATGCGTGAAGAATATCTGTTACTAGAATTCTTCACAACACTGCCTTAGGTTTGAGTCTTGCTTCTAAACCACTGGGAAATTACTGCCCAATGCCAGGAGCCTCTGGACTATGAAATGTGGTTGTGCAGTTGGTTTTGGGAGGCCAGTCTCAGGTTATTTCTGGTGATATAGAGCAAAATTTGCCTATTATCTAAATAATTAACAGGGAAGGCAGCAGAGAAGTCAGACAAGTTCCTGGAAGTGTCTCCCCAGCCTGGGAATACCACAAGATGTTTTAAGGCCAAGTGAAAGCAGCCATTTAATGAAGTGCCCCTTACCGTTATTCCCTTCTTATTATTATAAAAATGGTCATAGTTGTCTGGAGCCATTATTTATCTTTTGTACGTGCACATGAACACAGCAACTAATGCCTTAAATCAACCTGTTTGAACAGTGGGGGAGACAGAAGAGGAAGCAAGCAGCAGGGAACGTCCCTTGGAAGGGTTTCACTGACTGAGAAATGCTCTCTGAGAATTCCATCACAGAACGCTTAGCATCGTCCACTTGCTTAGTTTACTACTACTCCTCCTTCCTGCTTGCTTCATCTTCCAAGAGGAAAATGAAATCCCTACCTTCATGTTTAGTTATTGTTCACTGATTGCAGGGGCACTGTCAACGTTCATTTTTATAGACAGAAATGGGAAGTAAAAAGCTTTTCTGCTTTTCCTTCTTTCTTGCATCTATACTAGTGTGGCATTTTATGGAAATCACAACAGAGAGTCATGACATATCTGGCACATTGACCAACATAGGAGAAACTTTTCACCTGATATACTTTGCACATTAGGCAGCAGTGAAGCAATTAATCAAAAAATAGTGGCATGCATACACAGGGGACAGGCCTAAAGAGGTTGCTTAGACTCCAGTGAAATCCAGTGGGGAAGCCATGGAGGTTGGGAGGCTGCAGCAGGTACTGAAGTTCCATGAAGAGAGAAAGGGGCAAATTTTTGCCACCCCCCTTTCTGTACTCTTTCCATCTTCACTAGTCTATTTCACTCTCTCTCTTTTTTTTAAAAATAGTGTTTTTAATCTACTGACTAAGCTTTCAGTTCTACCACTGTTGCTGACAGTTCACATGACAATGATGCAGTCTTTGCCTGTGTCACTTAAATACTGGCCTGAAGAAATTCCCTGGATGCTGTAGCTCCTTGTGAATAAAAAGAGTTGGTGTGAAATTTAACGCAATACTTCCTGCTGCTTACTAAAAGAAAGAACCGTAACCAACAGAGCATCAACAGGAAGACAAGATGAGGCGCTGAAGGGGAAATGCCAGAAATGTAACTGGTTCTGCTTCTAGGAGTATACATTGACTGAGTTTTCTCTATCCTCTTCCTAATGCACGTGGCAGTGCCCAGAAATGCAGAAATTCCTTTTCACAGGCACATGTACACAACTCCTAACAACTTCCCTCCCCCAGTTTTTCTGGCTATTTTTCACAGCAGCCGACTGTCTTAAGTATGGAGGTCACCATCTCTAATTTTGCCAACTCCCTGATAACTAGCTGCAATTCGATATCTACAAAGCTACAAAGCAAGAAGCAGCAGTGCAAACTTCCCATTACTGCTCTTGAGTCCCAAAATCATCTGAAAGGAGCTCCCCTAGTGATGTAACATTTATATCCTTCCTCCTCTGTGAAAAGGAATTCCAACAGTGAAAATGGGCTTGCTGAGCTGAAATCTGAGAAACAGACTGAAGCTGCCAGAAAGCCACCAGATGGTAACAACTACTAGTTCCCATCAGGCAGAGTCTGGCCTGGTGGACTAAAGGTATAAGCTTACTATTTAAATGTATCAGCTGATTAAATGCTCATTCAAAAACTACAGGGTCTAACCAGGCTCTTTGATACCCCACTCTTTTTTTTGCACTTCCCCTTTGCGGGGAGCTATTTTAGGCAAATCTAGCTACATGTGCATTAACAATTTCTAGTAAAGACTTTTACATAGAAAGAGAAGGCACTCACACTTTGAAAAAACCTCATTTCTCCCATTCTTCCCCCCCGCCACTTCTTCCCAGTGTTGCCTGTGACACAAGCACCAAACACAAATAGATAGATGCATATCCAAATTTTTACTTACTCGTCAGCATTCAAGCTAGCTGTAGCTTTGATGATCATGTAGCAGAGTGTGAGGGCACTGAGGAGGCCAAAACTGGCAATAATAAACCATTCTTCTGTTGATAAAGGAAAGGGAGGAAATCACTCGGGGGAGAAGGCTTATGTCAAATCGATGTGAACATTTCCCTCAAACGCCACTGGCAGAAGGCTACAGGGTTCTAAGCCAGGACTGGCACCAGGAAGTAAAGCAGAAGGAAGTTAGCCACAGAGTTACTGGTTGGAGAAGGCTAGCGAAGAAGAAGTGGAGAGAAGATGTGGGGAAAAAAGCCTGGCACAACAATATCTCCTGGCTGAGCCCCAGGGTTAGCAATAAAGAAGGATCATTTAACAAAGTAAAGTGAAATGCAAGACAAGGAAAAATGTAAATGAAGGCTCTCCTCTCCTCCCAGTTAATATGGATATTGTCAGGGTTGGTTTGGAGAGCCCAAAATGTGACTTCATATACATGTGTATATAGACACATACTTATAAAAAATTAAATTATTTTTTTAAAAGCAAATACTTTAGGGCTATTTTTATTTAAACAAAGTTAGTGCCAGTTGCCAAGCACTAAACCACAACTCTAACAAATTTTCCACATAACGGAAGGATGTGATATTTGGAAAGGAAACAGATTTCAGTTTCAAATGATTATAAAAATGTACAAATGCTTTAAAATAAAAAATATTTTGCTATGACCTTTTAAAAAAAGCATTCAATATCGAAGGCATTATTAAACAGACACTATGCTCTCTCTCCTCCTGAGAAGTTCTGCATGTGCAAATAGGTTTAATTATAAATATTCTGGTTTAGTAAGATGAATTTTAGGCTTTACTTGAGTGTGCCAGAGAAATGTGTGTTATACAGAAAGTTAAAACCTGAAAAGCTTTTTTAAAGAAACTTTATTTTATAACCACTATCAGAATGAACTGGTTCTTATATTTCTCTTTTCTTTACCACGGTGTTCCATCTTTGAAAGGCAGGTACTACAACAGGGAACAGACAGTCAACACACCTGCCTTCAAGGAAGTTGAGCAGTTAGCCTGGTTTAATTGCAAACTTCTTTCTCCTGGATGGGAACACTCTGAACATTAAAAATTGTTACCAGGTTTAATCTGTGTTCGGGAGAGCTAAATAAGGGATGGATTAGTAATGACAGATGCTGGACAAAGTGACTTCTTGGTTTTGTGAACGAACTAGATTTGGAGTTTGGATTTGCCCTTCTCAGGCCAGCACACTAATGGATATTGGTACATTTGGAAGAAAGGTGGGAAAAGTGGAAAAAGCAAAGTTTTCTATCACAAGTTTGCTTTGTTGTAGCATCATAAGAAATGTTCCATAATGCACTGTATTTAGAAGCTTTTTTTAGTAGCTCTGCTTATTAACATAGGTCAGAATACAAGCAGTGTCCCCCAAGTTTATGAGATTGGGTGAATAGATATGAATGAAGAAAATATGAGAAAATCGACTGCCTCCAACATGGATTTGAGTTCTGTGATGCAATGAGAAACAAACACTTATCCATACATCAAATCATTACCCTAAAACATTTAGAAAATGATGCAATGCCATGCATACTGTATTCTCAGGGTCTTTGTTTATACACCAGAAACCCCAGGTGGAATCTACTCAGTGGAATTTCCTCCCGTTTTTCCTTTGAAGAGAGCCCTGCAAATAGTTTGCTTTCACTGTCCTACAATATCATGATACCACGAAACATCCAGATTATGCTGGGTTCAAAGACCTTCGCATCAAACACAAAAATCGTATGTTATAAAGGCAGACATGACAAATACTAGGGCTAATCTCTTAGATCTCTGCTCCTGGGCCTTAGGGGTTCCAAATGCAACACACTAATTGAGAAAGCGTCTAAGTACCCATGATAATACCTATAACCAATTTAGTAACTACTAACCCGTTCAATAATAGTCTTGCAGTATATTTTTGCTGTGTAAAAATAGTAGACTCCTTTTTGCCAACCACGTTTCCCACATTGGTTACCAAATTAATTTTTTTCTTGAAGTTCACCTAATAATTGTATGCAGTTCTAAATGAATTTACCATTAATAATGAAAGTGTTTGCAACAGTCCCTGAAGTTAGTTTCAATAAAAAACATGTATATTTCTTACATTGAGAGAGGTCACCTTTGTCTCTATAGGGAAAGGTTTCACCGCTGCCCTGTTGTGCAGAACCACAGCAAAAACAGACACCACACAACAGGGAAACCGTGAAACTATAATAAAAACCAAATAATGCTTACTTGTTACGGCAATGTTGATCTCCCCTGTCCTTGGAGTTATTTCCCCGTCCTGTGGAAGCTGTGACATCCCAGAAGTACGTAGGGGCTCCAGGCTGAGTGAGTTGTCATTGGCAAAGTCACCAAGTGCTGATCGTCTATTGGCTGGCTGGCCTCTGGTGAGCCTTTCCATATCAAAGGCTACGTTATCTGTACATGGCACACTTGGCTGGAAAAACATTACTTCCATATTAAAATGTTAATTATTCTATACACAGGCAGCCTGCAAAAGTCTCCCTTGCTTAAGTGTTTTTTTTTTAAATAAAGAAGACACTGAATATGTACAAAAGCCTATCTCTATCATAGAGAGACAAGGCGGGTGAGGTAATATCTTTTATTTAACCAACTTCTGTTGGTGAAAAGAAATGTTTGGCTCTTCAGGTCACTGTGTGTAGCTCAAAAGCTTATGACTTTTACCTCACCCACTCGGTCTCTCTAATATCCTGGGACCAATAAGGCTACAACAACAAGGCTAAAAACCCTTCTGTACATAGGTCAGAAAATATTATGATTCAGGAGAGGGAGTTGAATATGTTGGTGGCCTATAAACAACAGTATATTCTTAAGAGTAAAGAAATTTGTTACCAGGGGCCATAAAAGCTGATTTCTTTGTACTCTACATCAATAGTGAGAGGTATTAGACAAGGCATGTCAAATTACACTGTTTCCTCCTCTACCAACTCAGGTATGTTAATCACAAAAGTAGCTTGCCCACAATGTGTTATCTGCTGTTATTTCTAGAAAGTTTGTGCAGTTTGACACAGCTAGGAATGTGGGCCTGATTTCTCCCTTGCTGTGCTTGACCCGATAGCTACTATAGACATGGCATAAGCTTTTCCTTCCCCTTTATATGAAGGACATAATCTGCCTGAGAATCACCAATGCACTCAGAACTTCTCCCCAGACAAGAAAACGGGAGGAAGATCTCCTTTGAGACCATCCTCTAATGTCTCTTTGTGAATCAGCTAGCAGCTGGTAGTTGCAGAATGGATTCTCCAAGCACTCAACCTCTCTATATGCATTTGAGGTCCTCTGGCTGAAAAGACAGAGATCAGAGGCCACACTCAAACCACAGGAAGAAGGGCTCCAACTCGGCTGAGCAATATGCTCTTGCCAACCCACCATGCCTGCTGTGATGGATTTCTTATTATGAGCTACTTTGTGTGAAGAAGTTACTTGAACTGGCTGTATCAGTTATGTAATAAAGGTCACAAATATGTAACTTACTACAATTCCCAGAGCCTTCAAAATGTTCAGTTTACACATAGGACAGGTACAGTGTTCGCTAAGCCAAGGATCCACACAGGCTTTGTGGAAAACGTGCCTAGAAAAGAATACACAGGGGCGCACACAATTTATTAACCTGCACAGAGTTTCATAGTGTACAGCACGAACAGTCTCACACTCAGATGAGATTTCAGAAATGAAACTTCCAATGAAAACAATTTAGAATCTTGCAACACAAACTAAAAGAGACGAAGAAAAGAACATCATGGACCTAACTGCAGAATCCATCTCTGTTAGTGTTCTGTGCTGTCTGGACCAAGGAAATCTAAAGTTCTGCTTTCCTTTGCTATCAGTTAATCATGATTCACTTAGGAAAAATAGAATTTAAAGCCCTGGTTCTGCACTTGGGACTGCACACGCAGACCCTTGGCACCTGCTGAAGCCCCAATAACAGGATCAGTTTATAACGTGAACTACAGAATCTATATAGGTCCACAACCTTGTCTTTAATGGGTGTAAAACTGTGACATACTGAATATGTAGGCATTCCACCAAATAACAGTGCTAGTAACTTTACACACACCTGTAGCAATAAATAACCTGTGATGTCTTCTAAGTATACTTCAGATTTTTGCAATATTTATATATTTTTTATTACTGATAATATATCATTTAGCTAAATATCAGGTATACAAATGAAGATCCTAATCCCACAATTGGATCATTGCAGGATTATTTTCTGCATATTAAGTTCGATTCTTCTGGATGTAACCACAGTACAAACTGCAGAGTAAAATTTACATGTATGTTTTCTTTTAGTATATGGTTCTAGTTAAGATCCTGTATCTGTGTCAGATGATAATCCTTAATTTTAAACATTTTAAAAGGGGAGATGTATAACAATTTAGAAAGTACCTATTGCAACAGTATTTAGGTACTTACTGACTATCTCAAATAGGGTCCTGCCCCATTAAAATTGTTCAAATATGCTAGCTGGGTTACTAAGTAGTCAAAACAGGACCAGAAACATTACAACTGAGAATAACTAATAATGGTGGAAGTTGGGGTGAGAGTGTCCATCTCCTCTACCTTGACATAATAGTGCTATAATCAACTTTGGTGATTTTGCTGCTGCCTCTCCCTAGCAGGGGGCTAAGTCTTTTTAGTTCTTCTGTGCTTGTCATCAAGAGGGAGAACTGCCACCTCTCTACTTTCCATCAGTTTAAACTGGCTTGTGCGGGCACTGGCCAACCTGCTGACACTGACACCTTGAGGGAACTTTCTCTTGCAGGTTCAGAAGGTGACAACTTGCAGCAGCATCAGTGTCTTCCCTTTCCTGGTTGAACTACATTGGCTGTCCCCCTCCCCATGCAGTTGTAGCTGCTGGGACACTTTGTGGCTGGATTCTTGGGATAGGGGAGAGACTCCCCTAAATACAGCTGGGTCTCTGAAATACAGCCCTGAGCAGCAGCAGAGCCTCTCTGCAGCAGCTGCTTTCACACAAGTTGCTGCTTTCCTCCTCCTCCTCCCATGTCACTAAGCTCCATCCAGGACTTATTCTCAATTAAGTGGCAAGAGCACAGTCCCATTAGAAGTCAAGTTTGAACTAAAAATCAATTGCCATATTACAATTAAAAGCAAACCAAACCTATTATGGATTAATTCTTGGTAGGCTTTTATAATTGGCAAAGGTATGTCAAAGGAAGGAGAAACACGTAGAAGCTTTACCCTATCATATATACCTTTTGAGAACTGGAAAAACAGGTTCACCATCTTATATAGTAAAAACAAATCTTCTAAAGATGAGAAAGCAAAATGGGCTTCTACTTGCACAGCATGTTAATTTGCATTAGACAAGAGATTTGTATGGCCACCCACGTGGCTTGCAAAGACATGCTTTCAGACAGATTGATTAATATAGAGGTAATTAACATTGATTTTGATATAAACTTAACAGGAAAGGACTGTACAAGGATAGTAACAACACGCTCAGGCAAAGGAAGATGATTGGCCTTCCTTGACCTGTCACTTTACCTGTAGAACATTTTTGACAATGAGTAGTCGGGGAAGGAAATGGTATCAGTAGATTATCTACTTTAATACAACACAGCCATGTACTAATATACTTCGTCTACACTGAAAAGTTGTATTGGGATAACTATGTCAGTCGGGGTGAAAAAAAAAAAAAACACACACACATACCCCGACCAACAGTTATGCCAACAAAATCTCCAATGTAGATGCAGCTATGTTGATGGAATAGAGCCTCCGTTGATGTAGCTAACATCGTTCAGGAAGGTGATGTGATGTAGCTAACATCGTTCAGGAAGGTGATGGTCCTACATGAGAAGAAAAACTCCTCTTGGTGTAGGCTATGTGGCTAGGTGGGCATAGCTAACTGAGAAACAGCTTTGTTCTGACATACCTGAGAGAATGTAAAGTGCACCATCTATTCCAGGCTACAGAGCAACCTATAGCTGGCCATCAGAGCAGCTCAGAATCAGGGAGGTGCAAAGGCGCTGTATAGCTGCCTTTACTTCTGCCTTCTATTCTGTGCCCCCTGAGATGCTGAGCATGGCATGTGCCCCGAGTTCTAAAATCATAGTAATACTGCTCATTCTTCCTTCTCTACCATACGAGACATTAAAAGCAGAACAGAGGAGGCATGTCACCAGGAAGCTACTAAGTCTCCAGGTTGACTTCCTGGAGAACAGCTCCTGAAAAGGTTTGTTAGTAAAAATGGAAAGAGGTAGTGCATGTACAATAATAATTTTATGTCCACAGGTATTAAGCTGGTGGCAATACTCAAGTACATCAATGTAATTATGTTCTAATCAGTAGTACTTGTTCAAATCAACTAAGGGGAGTGGGGATGTACAGGTATAACTAAGAGTCTACTCTGGTCTGCAGAACCTTTACTACCAGTGATGATGCACAAGGAAAGATTTCAGCTTGACATTAATAACCAAGGTTGAGTTTGCACAGGTGGCAGTTAGGAAAAAATAACTTTATTGGAAATAGGAGTACATCGGATATCTGCAATTTTCCAAAATATTAGATTGTGAACGTGTCTCACTCTAAAAGCCAGATTAGAGTTTTAAAAAGAAATGTAAGAGATGAAAAGCAATAAATTGCCACCCTAAAGCAACACAACAATTTTATGCACCACTGGATTGGAAGCCATTTAAACATGAAGAGAAATATGGAACTCCACTAAGCTGGGGGGAGAGGTAGATACGCTGGAGGGTAGGGATAGGATCCAGAGCGACTAGACAAATTGGAGGATTGGGCCAAAAGAAATCTGATGAGGTTCAACAAGGACAAGTGCAGAGTCCTTCAGTTAGGACAGAAGAATCCCATGCACTGCTACAGGCTGGGGACCGACTGGCTAAGCAGCAATTCTGCAGAAAAGGACCTGGGGATTACAGTGGATGAGAAGCTGGATATGAGTCAGCAGTGTGCCCTTGTTGCCAAGGCGGCTAATGGCATATTGGGCTGCAGTAGTAGGAGCATTGCCAGCAGATCGAGGGAAGTGATTATTCCCTTCTATTCAGCACTAGTGAGGCCACATCTGGAGTATTGCATCCAGTTTTAGTCCCGTCACTACAGAAAGGATGTGGACAAATTGGAGAGAGTCCAGCGGAGGGCAACGGAAATGCTCAGGGGGCTGGGGCACATGACTTACGAGGAGAGGCTGAAGGAACTGGGCTTGTTTAGTCTGCAGAAGAGAAGAGTGGGGGGGATTTGATAGCAGCCTTCAACTACCTGAAGGGGGGTTCCAAAGAGGATGGAGCTCAGCTGTTCTCAGTGGTGGCAGATGACAGAACAAGGAGCAACGGTCTCAAGTTGCAGTGGGGGAGGTCTCAGTTGGATATTAGGAAACACTATTTCACTAGGAGGGTGGTGAAGCACTGGAATGGGTTACCTAGGGAGGTGGTGGAATCTCCTTCCTTAGAGGTTTTTAAGGCCCGGCTTGACAAAGCCCTGGCTGGGATGATTTAGTTGGTGTTGGTCCTGCTTTGAGCAAGGGGTTGGACTAGATGACCTCCTGAGGTCTCTTCCAACCCTGATATTCTATGATCATATTTTTAGTCACTTTTGACATCAGAACTGTACTCTCCTGCATTCATGGGCTGGTTTGACATGGCATGGCACGGCACAGCTATCTGGCATGGAGAGCTGTATTAACCAAGCTACAAATGTACTGCTGAATATGCTGGATTGTTTAATCAAGAAAACTTAAGAATCTCCACTAACCAGCCTGCTGATGTCCTTACTTCATTCTAGAATCTTTAAGGCAATGAATGTGAGACAAACATAAGTGTGAAAAATGGGATAGGTACTCTGCTCATCCTTCCTGAGCAACTATACAAAAAACTGTCCTTCACTCCCTATTTCCTTATTTCTGCTGTCAATAGTTATTAACTTTTTATTTGTATCACTCATGAGAGCACAGAAAAGATTATTCAGCTGTCCTTTGAGGTAGAAGTGAGCTTGCAATCCCATGGTACATATAATTACGTTACTGTGTTGTGTTACACATTTTAATGCTTTTAGTCACTTGTATATTTTTTTAAAACTCCATAGTCTGGATTTTAGAGTGGGACATGCATTTACAACAATCTAATATTTTGTGAAACAGCAGACATCAAGACTCCACATAAGTATGAAAACAGCTTTAATATGCTGTTATCAGCTAATCAGTGCTCAGTGCTATAAAACCACTCAGATCAAATCAGGCACTGAATGATATGGATTCCAATGTGTACCTAGTAAATATTATGAGATTATTTTAAAGAGATATTAACAGTCTGATAAGGTGTTTCTGTGCATTTAAAACCTAACTACTTTTCTGATATTTTCATTCTTTGCTATTGGTTCTTAAACCTCTTGAACTCTGGGAAACCTTATAAATGTTTTCCAATCTCCCCCCCACCAAGTTTTAATCAACATATTTTTGCCTGCTATTTCTCTCTCCCCTAAATATCCTGCTGGCCTTGATATGGTGGCTCTTGATCAGTCCAGGTTTTTTGGTATTTCCAGGGGTTGAACAGCAGTTACAAACTGATAAGACAATAATGCACAAGTATGAGTAAT